GCGTGTGTGTGTGTATGTGTGTGCATGTGTGTGTGTTTGTGTGTGTGTTTGTGTGTGTGTGTGTTCGGGGAGGGCGCTGGGGAAGGGGAGGGGGCTAGACGGGGAGGCTGGGGTGATCTAGGGCCTCCTGGATGGGGCCCGAGTAGATTGGGTCGGAGGATCGCGCCGCATCGCCGATGCATCGACGATGCATCGCCGATGCGGCTCGATGTGTAGCCCAATGTTCTCCACTCCGACGTCGCCGATTCATCACCCAAGTCGACGATGCTTCGCTGGTGCATCGCCGATGCATCGCCGATGTATCGGCGATGCGGCGCGATCCTCCGACCCCATCTAGGAGGCCTCTAGGTGAAGGGGGGGGCGTACGAAACGTGTTGCCACATATTTGGATTCGGGCATCGCTTTTCGGGCTGCAGGCAAGAACTACAAAGGATCTTGGAGCCCAATGTACGCGCATGCTTGCATGCTCGGCTCGACGCGTCGTGTGTCCTCGCAGTTACACCACAAGAAGCCGAGACGAATGAGACGAAGCAAGGGGCCCAGCACGCCAGCCGCTGCGCAGCTCGGTGGTGGGTACTGTTGTCTACCATGCTGTTTCATGGTTTGCTTTGGTGGGGCTCTCAGTTTGGACCACGATGCAGATCCGCTCCTCTCTTGTTGGCTGGCTTGTCGCCTCTTTTGCCCACCATTCCCTGTTCTCTACGGTTCACCTGTCTTTTGCTTCGCAGCAGTAGCTGGCAACGTGGCCTCTGTCCCTGAATGTCCGCACGGACGTCTCTGGCAGGAGCTGGACTTGTGGGGCAATGAGTTGAGCGATGTTGGCAAGGACATGATTGCGTCGATGGCGAGGCGAGCCCGTGGAAGGGGAGGGGTTCAAGAATCCTTCTTTCAGTCTCCCCGTGCCTTCGTCGCCCTCCCTTCTGCCTGGTGCGAAATTGACTTTCAATCCTGAGCCTTCAATGCGAAAGCTCGCGCCCCGGACCCTGAACTCCAAGGCCTTCCGTGGACTTCAAATTGTGACCCCGTGGCACTGCTCTATGTCGGGAATGGGGTAAGGGCAGGGGAACACGGGATAATGAGGACCCAGAAGCCAGCCAGAGCGTCAATCAGATTGCGCGGGGGGGGGCGCATCGGACCACTATTTCCAGACTCGCGCATGCTGCTCCACCATCCTCGTCTACCCCTCCTCCTTCTTTTCCTCATCGACGACAACGCTTCAACCGCCCCAGTGGCGGAGCACGCCACTTGATCGTCTGCGCGCACAAGCGCTTGAGTCTGCCAATCCCCACTACAGCAGAGCCAGTGAGAGAGTGCCAGGGCTGGGGAGGAGAAAGGAATGTCCATTCCGCAGCCCATGGCTGCCGCTGCTCGCGGCCCGCCGAAAGGCCTAGCGTCCATCTGCGCAGCGGGAGCCGCCGCTGCAGAGTGGCCCCGCACCTGGGCCGTGGGAACAGCGGCGCCGAAGGCTGTCGGGCAGGTGGGCCAAAGCAACCTACCGAGGTCCACCAAGCCCCCCGACGTCCTCCGAGGTCCTGGGCCTCCCGAGGACTCCCCCGCGCTCCGAGGCCCTCCGAAGCCTCCGGGAGCCCTCGAAGGGCCGCCACGAGGCCAGAAGCCGGCCGCGCGCCTCTCTGGCGCGGGTGCAGCAGCGCCGGCTCCTTTCCTGGGCAATGCTCCGAATGTCGGGACAATTTGGCTTGGCGTCTTAGCGTGTCGCTCCGCTGGCTCTTGCCCACCACGCTTCGGCGCGACACGCTGTCCGACTTCCAAATTCTGGGCAGACCTCGAAGGCGACCTCTTGAAGTTCGCATGCCTGTGACTGGGCTCTGGCCCGCCCGCGCCGCCCCCTGAGGGGCCTGCCGGCCCGCCGGCCGGCGGACTCGCGCGTCTGCGTCTGCGTCTGCGTCTGTTCCCAGGAGGCCACGTCCAGAGCCTTTTCCCAGCATCTCGCCCCGCGGAGCGGAGCGACTGGCTTTCTCTTCGCAGGGCATAGCGTGCCGCCGGGGCCGCCGCCGCGACACGCTATGCAAAAGTTCGTGCCACGAAACGGTTGCCTTTAGCCCAGGCCCCGCTGGAAGCCTCTGAGACAGCTCCAATCAGACCCCTCCCAAATCGGAGCCCCCATTTTACAATGGAATTCGGAGTGCCGACGCACGCGCTCCACAGGGAGGGCGGCCCGCGAGCAATGGCGCACAGCGCAGTACGCGTTCGCAGCGGGCAGGTGGGCATCGGATGCACTGTCCCCGGCTGCAGTGCAAGGGGGAATGAAGGAGGGGGGGTGGAGGAGGAGGAGGAGGAGGAGGAGGAGATGAGGTAAGGAGAGGATGAGGATGAAAGAATTTAGGAGGGGTCAGAGAGGGAGGAGAGGAAGGCAGGAGGAGGAGGAGGAGGAGAGGAGAGAGAGGAGGGAGGAGGAGGAGGAGGAGAGGAGGATGATGAGGAGGAGGAGGAGGAGGAAGGAGGGAGGAGAGGAGCGAAGTGTATTACGGAGGATGTCGGAGGAGGAGTAGGAGGAGGCGGAGGGAGGAGTGGGAGGAGGGAGCGTGTTGTGTAGGCCGGATGCGGTATGAGTAGGAGGATGATGAGAGGGGATAGGGAGGTTAGGAGGATTTGATGAGAGGAGAGGAGAATGATGAGGATGAGGAGGAATGAGAGGCGGGGGAGGGGAAGAGGAGCTCGAGAGGGTTGGTCGTGGCTTACGGTGAGGAACTTTTGGGACTGATTGATTAGTTATGAGAGGATTCTTTTTCTGGAATATGTGAGTAGACATGTTCTTTCTCTGGTTCGTGTTCTGGGTTGGGACATGTGTTCGGTGGGTGGGATGTGAGGGGTGTGTTTTAGTTCGTGGGGAGGGAGTGATGTGATGAGGGATTATGAGGATAGGCATTGTGAGTGAATTAGTGTGCGTGATGTGATGGCGTAGTTTTAATTCATGTTGTCTAGGCGAGTGGGGTTTGATTGATTAGTATGTTATTCTAGTTATGAGAGTCTATTATTTATTCTTGGTCTGTCTATTGGCGGAGGTGACTGATTGAGGATTTGTCTATTTCTTTTTTCTTCTGCGTGCATTATGTCTGAGTGTATGGGTTGAAATTCCTTGCGAGTATTATTCACTTTGCTATTACGTGCGGTCCTGCGTGTTTCTGTGTGTCTGAGTCATTGTTTATATGTGTCTTCTTCAGCCGAGGACAGATGATGATTGGACGTGCTTGGCCCTTCTGGGCCTCCAGAAGCCTTCAGAGGGACGGGGCAGAGGAAAGGAATGATGTAGCTACGGCGGCCAGCTCAGGAGGAGGAGGAGGAGGAGGTCGTGGCTTGGTGCAGTCAGCATAGCGCGGGAACGCAGTCCGTGCCGGCACGGAGCCCGAGCGAGCTGGGAGTGTGGCGGTCGGGGGCGAGCAGTGGTAGGTGCCCCGAGGTCAGGCTGCGGGGCAGCCAAGGGCCTGTCCGCAGGAGGGCGGGGTGTGGACGCCAGAGGCGTAGAACCGAAAGAGTTACAGGGAGTGATGCGCGCGTGCGCGGTCAGAGCGTGGCGCTTCCTGGTGCCGGGGGCCGCCGCCGCCGAGAGGGCACCATGAATGGCCAGGCGGTGGCGCCCACGTGGTGGTGGCGGTTGGTCACGGGGGGGGGATGGCTTCATGGGCAGCCCCGCAGGTGCGAAGGCGAAGCCGGGCAAGGGGGCGCCGAGGGCCCAGGGTGGCAGCAGCCGCAGCGATGCGACCCTGGTGCGGAACGCCAGGCTGCGGCCAGGGAAGAGGCTAGAACGATGGTCAGTAGGGTTTTCAGGCCACGATGGCGACCAGACTGCTGTCCAGGGTCGCGGCCTGAGACGAAGGTGTGCTCGTCGGCTCGGCCGACGTGTTGCACGCTGGTGTGCCATGGGCGCGCAAGTACAGTCGGGGCGCTGAAGAAGGAACCCTTTTCGTTGGGGAGGGGCTCGGTGTTCCTTGATTGTTTCACAGCTTGCCTCATGTTTTCCTTCTGTTTTCGATGGGGGATCGAAGTTTAACTTATGGACAAAGAGGGCCTCGTTCCTTATTGAGGGTTCCTTAGGTCAACGCCCCGACTGTAAGGGGAAGTGCGTGCGCTGCTCAGAGTGGTTCGAAAATAGGCCGAGTGGTCGCGAGTCGAGTGGTGACGAGTCGATGCAGGGGACGGCAGCGAGAAGCGACGGGACGACGTGAGTGCGGGGCCTTGCGTGTGAGCACCTTGCGTGGGGCTGTTGGACATCACATGTGTTGGGGCGATGCCATCTTGAAACAGTGAGTACAGTGGGGGCGCGCATCAAGAAACCATATGCTTTTCGTCAGGTTATCCTGGGTTTCTTCGCTCCTCGCGCTGCGCGGTGACTTCCCGCAGCCGTTGAAGGAGCTGCTGCGTTCAGGGTGTTCTGGGTTTCCCCTCAGGTGCACCTCGCGCACTGGTTCTCAGGGTTGGGTTTCTTGCGAGGGTTTCTTGCGGCCGCGCCCGCACTGTAACATAATGTTGGGGCGATGCCATCTTGAAAAAGTGAGTAGTGTCTCGTTGGTCTCGCTTCCGAATAGCGGTACCACTGCGGACAGCTCATCGCAGAACGCGGCCTGGTGCCAAGTGCCCGAGTGATGTGCCTGGTCGTGTCTCCCAGCGGTGTGTTGGACCGAGCCGGCCTGTAGTTATCGGTCCGTCGGAGATGCCGCAGGCGAATTGCAATGGTCGCGTGAAGGGGGTGCCAAGAAAGATCCTTTGGTTGCCAGGCATCGGTTACGCTATAGGCAGCGCCCAGGGCGCTGGTGGAGTCGGGCATTCCGACATTGGGGCGATCTTAGTGGATGGAAGGAGGCCCGGAGAAATGCACAGGGCCCCCGCAGCCGGCAAGCAGGCCGAGGCGAGGCGATCGGTGCGCGCGAGGGGGAGGTCAAGAGGGATGCCTCCGCGGTCTGGAGTGCAGCGGAGAGCGCGGCACAACGCCATGGGTGGGTAGCCCGCGGGATGGTCAGCCAGCTCCAGTTCCCGCATGGAACCGACAAAGAAAGGCGCTGCCATTCGCTGACCTCACTTTGCCGCTGCTCTCTCTCTCTCACTCTCTCTCTCTCTCTCTCTCTCTTCCCCCCCCCTCTCTCTCTTCTTTCTCTCGCCCCTCTTCGGCTCCCTCTCTGTCTTCCTCGGCTCCTTCTCTCCTCTTCTCCACGTCTCCCTCCTCCCACCTCTCCCACTACCCTTTCTCCCTCCACCTGTCTCCAGCGCTCCTCTCGTCATCTTCGTATTCTTGTCGTCGCCTCTGTGTCTCTTCCCGTCTCTCTCTCCCTCTCTCGTCTCTCCTTCTCTTGCTTCATTCTGTGCTTACTGTATAGGTATCGCTCTCTCTCTCTCTCTCTCTCTCTCTCTCTCTCTCTCTCTCTATATATATATGTATATATATATATGTATACGCATCTCTTTCTCTCTCTCTCTCACTCTGCGTCTCTTCTCCCTCTTTCTCTCTTGACGTTTCGCTCTCCCTGTATCTCTCTCTCTCTCTCTCTTTGCCCATGTCCCTCTCTGTCCCTTTCTGTTGGTGTTTCGCCTGCTTCGTCCCCTTTGCCCCGCCTCTCGCTCTGCTTCGTCCTCGTCCCGTTTGCCCTCTCTCTCTCCCTCCCCCGCCCAGGCCATGCCACGGCCTCCTTCGAGCAATCCTGATCGGTGATCGCCATCAGTGGTTTCGAGCACGTGGGCATGCATTCCGGAGGCATTAGAAGCAGCGTTGTACCCTGCCCGCGACGACGTGCAGACTGCGATCTAGACCGCCTCGAGCAGAGCGAGCCTCGTACGTGCAGCTATGTGAGTAATGCATCCCTCACGGCCTCGAGTACAGAAACCCCCAATATCGTCAGCGCGATCAGCCCCCTCAATATTCTAGACGCTTTGCGTAACCCCACAAGCCCATCCAGAAACGATGTCCAGGCGAGTTGCCCTGACCAGGCATGTGGGGGAGCACGCAGTGGAATAACGGTTGGGAATCCGTCGTACCCCAAGAGAGGGTGACGGATGGGGGAGGGGGAGGAGGAAGGAGGGAGCAGGGAGAGAGGAGGAGGAGGATGATTAAGGCTGATAAGGAAGATGAAGAGGGGGAGGGCGAACAGAAATGCCAGATACCTCGTGGATGCTTCTCGGAGTCTCTTCGAATGTCTCTGGAAAGTTCTTGTAGGCCTGTCGGAGCGTCTTGGGGGCCTCTTGGCGGTCCCGGGGGCCTCTTGAATCATCTTGAGTGCCTCGGGGGAGCTTCTTGAGGGGTCTCCTGGGGCCGCTTGTGGGCATCTTGGTGGCATCTTGGGGGCCTCTTTGGGCCTCCTGGGCACCTCGGGCGCCTCTTGGGGGCCATCTTGGAGCACTCTTGGGGCATCTTGGGGCCATCTTGGAGGTGATCGATCAAATAAGGGGGGTACTCAAGTAGGCCCCCCCCCCCAGGAGGGCATCAGTGGGCCAAGACCTCAGTAACATCAGTGATGTTGGCTTTTTCTGCCGAGGCCATCTTGGACGCTTTAATGGGTGGCGATCCCCCCGCGTCCAGGTCCAGGGGTAGGGGGTAAGGGGAGGGGTCAAAACACCCTCCCCGCCCGCGTGCTGTTTCGCTCACTCCCATCCTCCCTCCCAACGCAGAAGTAACACCCGAGCCTCAGCATGATCAGCGGTCGCCTATGGATGGACAGCTAACTTATCGGAAACCAAAGCAGACCCCATGTGCGCGATGCTGGGGCGAGGTGCGCTTCGCGTGCCAGGCGCGCCACGCGGGCAGGGTGCGTCAGGCACCCCTGGGGCCCAAGCGTGCCACCCACGCCTGCCGCGCCACATGCGCCGCATGCTCCACGTGCGCCATGTGTGCCGCATGGTCTAGCCGCGCCAGGTGCGCCACGTTCGGCGCACGCGCAGAGTGTGCCAGGTGCACTGCGCACGTGACAGCACACATCGGGAAGCATGTCGGCCCCCACCATACATGTCGAAAGCCAATGCGCAATCGCGGCGGGGAGTCCATCATGGTGCCTGGTGGGCCTGCACACAGCAGGCAATATGCCAGCCCCTCCGCATTCCTTGTCAAAAACCAACGGAAACTGATCGCGGGGGGGCCGCGCATGATCCAGATTTAGATGCCACTTATATATTGTGTTATTGTTGGGCAGGGATGGTGGCCTTTGGGTACAGCAGGTAATACGAGAAAACCCTCGCCGTCACTTTCAAACATCTATTTGAAGTGCTCGCGGAGACCACGAGCAGCACCCAAGATTTTACCCCAAAGTGTAGTTTGTATTGCTTTGGACAGGGATGGGGGGGAGGCATTAGTCCTGGTTGCCTGCTGGTCGGCTGGGGAGGGGGCTGCTATTAGTAGGGAACAGTGATGAACCCCTCCCCGATGTGGAAGAAGGTGGTTGGCGGAAGAAACGCCTTAAAGTTCTCACGCCTGAAAAGGCTGGTGGGAGTTTGCATGGGACGGGAGCCTATCTTCGCGGATTCTTCTGGCCGCCATGTGCGGAGGTGCGAGGTGTTCCTCGAATTGGACCCGCCCCTGTCCAACAGCACCCCTTGCAGCGCGCTGAACAGCAAGGCTACCGGGATGGAGGTAATGCTTTCGTTGGCAGTCGTGCGCTTCGCTTTCCTGCTAGGAGGTCCCGACCCACCGTATCCTACCTGCGGCCATTCTATATGGTGAGGCCAGACACTCTTGTGTGCAGATGCTCTACCGGGTCCCGCGGACACCATGCGTACAGATGTCAACACGTGCAGTACGCGTCCCCCACTTTCCCTGAAGTCTGCTCGAACCCGCTTCCGAAGAAAGCCATTCCTCGCGCCTTCTCTGCGATCCCTTACACTGGAGACCAATGCCAAGAAACACCCTGCTTGCCTCCAGGGTGCCCTGGGTTTCTTGGGTTTCGATGGTTTTGCTATGGAAAGCGTGATTCTCCCACACCAGAAATCCATGGAATGCCTGGAGTCTCATTGTTGGGTTTCTTGTGGAAGGTTTCTTGTGGCCAGGCCCCTACTGTATGTGCAGATGCTCTACCGGGCCCCGGGACCACCTTGCGTGCAGATGTCAACACGTGCGGTACACGTGCCCCCCTCCCCTGAAGCCTGCTCGAGCCAGCTTCGGACGAGAGCCGTGCCTCGCGCCCTCTCTGCGATCCCTTGCCCATCCATGTTGCCGGAGCTGTACCGCCGATTCTTGTTGCGAAGACTGGTGGATAATGGAGGATGACGATTAATCAATGACCAGGGGTCTTGTTCACGCGGCGGCGCCCGGGATGACGATTAGAAAAAACCGGCCGCGGGCTGGAAAACTATTTTTTAATCGTTCTCCTCCAGTCAGAAAATTGTGCAGAGATAGCAGAAGACTATTTTTTAATCGTTCTCTCCCATATTTTTATTAATCGTCATCTGGCATTATGGAAGCCGCGTGCTCCCAGAGTGGTCAGATGTTGTGCTGACGTGGCGACCTGGGGTCTGGCTGGCAGCTGCGTCATCGATTCGCCCTCGGGGTGTGCGACTCGGCTTGGGCAAGTCCAGCCGAACGAGCAGACACACCGCGCAGACGGCATTGCGACAATACCCCCACCATTTCCAGAGCTATATGCAGAGGGGAGGGGGAGGGGGAGGGGGAGGAGGAGGAGGAGGAGGAGGAGGAGGAGGAGGAGGAGGAGGAGGAGGAGGAGGAGCAGGAGGAGGAGGGGGGGGAGGAGGGGGTCCAGGGGCAGCGGGAATGGACACGGGCGGGGGGACGGGGGAGGAGGAAGGCGGACGGGGGATGAGGAAGGCGGACGGGGGGGAGGGAGAGGGGGCCCCTCGGGGTGGATACCGGGCAGCCAGCGCCGTTGGTCTGCGTCTCGCCTGCCTCATGCACCCCCCCCCTCTCGCACGAGGGATCCCCGAGGGCGTCGTGCTGCACCTGCCCGGTGGTGGTGGTGGTGGGGAGAAGGAGCTGAGATGCGCTGGGATGAGCGGCTTGCAGCCAAAGTTTGCTGCCATGGGGCTACTCAGGCCCTCCCCCCCCGCCTCCGAAGACTCCGAGAGACCGGGGTGCCTCGGGCAGCGGACAGATGTTCCACGCGCCTTCGTCGGCGCCCCCCTCGAGGAGGCGCTCCACGCGGGCCCGCAGCTCCGGGAGGTCCGCCTCCTCGAGGCCGAAGGCCCAGCACATGGCTCGGGGGTCGTTGTCGAAGAGCCCCCCCCCCCCCCCGGCACCCGACCACGCACCCAGGCCCACCGAACCCGAGCCTCCCTGAGCCTCCCGAGCGATCCCGGCCATCCTCTCGCGGATGGCCCGCGGCACCCGGCGCGGGCGCTCCCGGGAGCTGCCTCCGCGCCCCCGCGGTGGTGCGGCCGCGCTCGGGCCCGCAGCTTCGGCGCAGCTGCGCGAGGAGCCATGGCCCGGCCTCCTCGCGCAGGCAGGGCCTGATCGGGGCTCGGGTGGGCGCGTGCCCGCCCACAGCACGCGCAGCACGCACAGCAGAGGCTTGATGCCTCTGCCACCTCGCGCGAGCGCTTCCACATGCGGGAGCGGGGGCCATTGACATCGCACCCCTCCCACGTCTCGAGGCGCCTTCCAGCCAGTCTAGAGAGACCCAGCCGCCCCACCGCCAGCGGGCTTCCTCCGAGCGCGACCGCGGGTCGGGGACGAGAGGCAGAGTCGCGGCCACGTCTGCACAGGCAAGGCAGCTTGAGCCCACGTGATGAGGAGGATGGCGAGCCCGAGGACCTGGTTGGACGAGGGGCACCTTCGCGGGCGGGCGGGCGGGCGGAAGTGGTTGGCAGGATGCCGCCAGGACCTGGGGGGGGCGGCGGGCCGAGGGGCCAGGCAAGCGTGTGGGATGGGAGTGTGGCTGGGCGGGCGGGTGGAGGGCTGGGCTTAAGTCGGGCCTGTCCCCCTACATGGGGATTTTCGACGAAAAATAAAACATATACCCTAAAAATACTTTAAAAAATAGTTCAAACATGGTCTGGGGACTTTTTGGGGGGTATTTGTGTGTTGCCTTTTTGGGGGTACTTGTTGGGTATTTTTCTATGTTTCGTCGAAAATCCCCCTGTAGGGGGACGCGCCCGACATAAGGCTAGGCCAGGCCCGCGTTCAGCTGTGCCTCCTCAGGTCCGGTCCATCCTCTTCGAGTGGATCTCACAGGTGCACGCCGGGATGCAGATGCCCTTTGCGGCAGACGGGCTGGCGGACCCTCAGGAGGGGCCCCCTCCTGTCCGAGAGGGGAGGGGCCCCCTCTCCTCCCCCACCTGAGATCCTCGGCGGCGACGGGAAGGGCGAATAGCCCAGGGGCGGGCATTACACGCATTCGCCCGGGAGCCTTTTCGAAGACATAGATCATCGGCGCACCTGCGTACATGTATTGCTCTCCCCTGGGCTATTCGCCCCTGTCGTCGCCTCTGAGACCCGATGTGGCGAGAAGATGCAACATCGTAAAACGACCAGAGAACCCCCAAAACCCCAGGATCTGCGCTTCTCTTTTGGTGGGTGGATCTCTCGAGGGCCCGCAAGGGCTCCCGGGAAGGCCCGCCCGGCCGCCGCGCGTGGGCGGGGCCCTCCTCTTCCTCCTCCTCTTCCTCCTCCTCCTCCTTCTCCTCCTGCTCCTCCTGCTCCCTCCCGTTCGCCTTCCTCCCCCCCGTCCGCCTTCCTCCCCCAGTCCGCCTTCCTCCTCCCCCCCGTCCCCACCCCGTTTCCATTCAGCTGCCCCTGGCCCCCTCCCCTCCTCCCCCCCCACCCCCCCCCTCCCCTCTCCCCCCCCTCCCCCTCCCCTCCTCTCTCCTCCTCCTCCTCCTCCTCCTCCTCCCTCTCCTACTCCTCCTCCTCCTCCTCCTTCCTCCTCCTCCTCCTTCTCCTCCTCCTCCTCCCCCTCCTCCTCTCCTCCTCCTCCTCCTTCCTCCTCCTCTCCTCCTCCTCCTCCTCCCTCCTCCCTCTCCTCCTCCTCCTCCTCCTCCTCCTCCTCCTCCTCCTCCTCCTCCTCCGCCTCCTCCCTGGGCCTCGCTCCGCGGCCGCGCCCGCGGCCCGGCGGCGGCCCGAGGGAGCGGCGGCCGGCCGCAGGGGCCGCAGGAGGCCGCGGCGGCGGCGGGCGCGCACGAGCGGCCCGGGCCTCCCAGAGGGGTCGGAGGCTGATCGCAAGAGCGGCCCTTCGCCGGAGTGGCCTTTGCTACGGTAGGTTCGCGTCGTGTCGACTGGCGGCGACCCCGCCGCCGACGTTCAACGTTGAATGCCGGCGGAGGCCCAGAATCGGTCGATGTTGAACGATCGGACGTTGCGGCAGTGGCCGATCGTTCAAGGTTGAACGATCCTCGCGGCGTCAGGGACCAACGCCCAGGTCGACACGGCACGGACCTGCCGTAGGCCTCCCAGATGGGGTCGGAGTAGGTGGGGGGTCGGGGGATCGCGCCGCATCGGCGATGCATCGCCGATGCGGCATCGCTCGGACGTGTGCATTTTTCCTTCGGCGAGGAGCCTCCTTGATCATTTGGCGAAAAAAACCACGCACGAATCCGAAACAAAACACAGGGAATGGACGTCCCAGCGATGGCCAGTGATGGACCTCCTACCTTTCAGTCGGGCGTGTCCCCCCTACAGGGGGATTTTCGACGAAACATAGAAAATACACAAAAAATGCCCCCAGAATGGCCAACAAATATTCAGAAAATAGTCCCCAGGCTATTTTGGGATTATGGTTTGATTATTGTTGGGGGTATTTTTTCATTTTTCCTCGAGAATCCCCCTGTAGGGGGACAGGCCCGACTTAAGCCCAGGCCTCCCAGATGGGTCGGAGGTTGATGGACCTCCCTCGGAAGCCGGAACATGTACAGTACCAGTGGAGGGCTGTCTTGCAGTCCCGCGACTCTTTGAGGGTCGGGGACGACGTCGGGGTGGTGTGGTGTATACTTTTTGCCCGTGTTCCTGGGGAAACGACGACAAATGTATACACCAGGATCCCGTATACACCAGGATCCGCTTTCTCGTGCGAATTTCAGTGCGGGGCTGGAAAAAGCGTGGGTGTATAGAGTTCGGCTCCTTACTACCCTCACACGTCGATGAGCGAGTTGGCCGTCTTCGGTTCGCGAGAGGGCGTCGCGGCCGTCATTTTTGCGGGGTCCTCGTCCTCAACGTCGTCGTCGTCCTCAGCGTGGTCGTCGAGCTCGCCGTCGTCGTCGTCGTCGTCGTCGTCGTCGTCGTCGTCGTCGTCGTCGTCGTCGTCCTCGTCGTCCTCATCGTCGTCGTCGTCGTTCCAGGTCGGCGGCACGGGCCGTAGGGCCTCTCCAATGGGCTCGTCGTTGTTTTTTTGTTCTGTTGATGCTCTTCTTTCGGATCGCTGACGTTCGGTAGCAGATCGTGGGAGACTGCCCTCTCGATTCCGTCTTCGGCGTCGCTCGGCGTCGCTCGGCGTCTGGGAGTCGATGGGGCAGCGCCGACCTCGCGTCGGCCAGCGTCGCTCTGGCGTCGATCCGGCGTCGATTGGCGTGGACCAGCACCGGTTCGCGTCGATTCGCGAGCGCCGACAAGATGCTATGGGAGCCTCCAACGAGCTGCCGCCGAAGTTGGTAGACCACTCCTTGAGTTAAGTCGGGCCTGTCCCCCTACAGGGGGATTTTCGACGAAGAATAGAAAATACCCACAAAATAGTCAAAAAATAGTCCAAAAATAGTCTGGGGACGATTGTTTGAGTATTTTTTTACCTTCTTGGGGTATTTTTGGGATATTTTCAATTTTTTGCCGAGAATCCCCCTGTAGGGGGACACGCCCGACATAATCCTCGAGTGATGAGCTCGGTGCCCTCGCCTCGCGGAGGCGACCCCGTGGCGTGAGCACACGGGGCGGAGGCAGGAGACGAGCCGCGAGCCCCCCCGCGGCGCGCCGGGGAGACGAGCCATCTCGGGCGGGCCGGGCCTCCCGGGGGCGAGGCTTTTAACACTACGCTGTTGACACGGCGCTGTTGGCATTAAGAGGAGAGGCTGTACGCTTCGAGTCTGTGACACTGCGCTGTTGCCACTGCGCCGTTGACACGACGCTGTCGCTACGCCGCTGGTTGACACTGCGCTGTCGATGCTGCGCTGTTGACACTGCGCTGTTGTCCCTGTTGACACTACGCTGTTGACAATACGCTATCGACACTACGCTGTTGACACTACGCTGTTGGCACTACGCTATCGACACTACGCTATCGACACTACGCTGTTGACTTGATTCGCTGTGAGACGCACTCGGGGGCGAGAGGTTCGCTCCGGTGCCCCCCCCCACGAGGGCCGTGAGTGGGGTGCGTCTGGCCGCATGTGGGGGTGTACGATCGGGAGCTTTGGCTTGCAGTGGAGGCCCACGCCATGGATCTAGGCCTCCCAGACGGGGTCGGAGTAGATGGGGTCGGAGGATCGCGTCGCATCGCTGATGCATCGCCAATGCGGCTCGATGTAGAGCCCGATTTGCTGCACGTCGACGTCGCCGATGTATCGCACACGTCGACGATGCATCGCCGGTGCATCGCCGATGCATCGGCGATGCGGCGCGATCCTCCGACCCCATCTACTCCGACCCCATTGAGGAGGCCTCTAAGTGGGACTCATGCCAAGGAAACGCCCTGCTTGCCTCCAGGGTGCCCTGGGTGTCTTGGGTTTCGATGGTCTTGCCGTGGAGGGCGTGGCATGCCCACACCAAAAAAAGTCAAAATGGACGCGTGGAAGGTTTCTTGTGGTCGGGCCCCTACTGTACTTGGCGATGGCCAGCTGTAGCGCGTCGCGCCGCCGATTCTGGCCCCCCACGCTTCGTCGCGACACGCCGTCCACGTCCCTGGCTTCGAGCGTCCGCGTCCCGAGCTCCTCCGGTCCTCCCGCCCCCCGGAGCGGAGCAAGACGCTGTGAGATTGCAGGTCATAGCGTGTCGCCAGGGCCGCCGCCGCGACAGGCTAAGCTTAGGTCGGGCCTGTCCCCCTACAGGGGGATTTTGGACGAAAAGTTTAAAGATTTCCCCAAACAAATGCAAAAGATGCCCTAAAAATACTCAAAAACTAGTCCCCCTATTATTTTTTGACTATTTTTGAACATTCCCCCTGTAGAGGGGCATGCCCGACTTACGGCTAAGCCAAAGCTCCCAACCAGAATTGGCTTCGCTTGTAAGATGAGCTGACGCAACAGAGATAATAGTTAAACCAGCGCCGAGAATTCACGTCGAAGGCTTTGTTTTGTTGCCCGGAGGGCCGCCAGGTTCGCAACAGGAGCAAATCTCCCTCCTTCCCTGTAGTCGGGCCTGTCCCCCTACAGAGGGATTTTGGACGAAAAAATTATAATACCCCCAAAATACCCCCAAATGGTGAAACATATTCCAAAAATCGTCCCCCGTTTTTTTTTTGTTTTTTTGTTCTATTTTTGAGCACTCCCCCGGTAGAGGCACAGGCCCGACGCGATCCTTCCCCCCTCCTCTCCCTGCTCCTCCTCCTCCTCCTCGCTCGCCCTTCCTCTCCTCCTCCTCCTCCTCCTCCTCCTCCTCCTCCTCCTCCTCCTCCTCCTTCCTCCCTGCTCCTCCTCCTCCCTCCTTCTCCTCCTCCTCCTCCTCCCTCCTCCTCCCTCCTCCTCCTCCTCCTCCTCCCTCCTCCTCCTCCTCCTCCTCCCTCCTCCCTGCTCCTCCTCCTCCTCCTCCCCCTCCTCCTCCTCACCTCGCCCTTCGACCCTGCCCCCCTGCCTGCGGTCCCGCTCCGGTCCCTCCCCGCCAGCCTGGCCTGCCTGCCTCGTCCCGCCCGCCCCTGGCACCTCGCAGGCTGCGCAGTCGTCGTCGCCTGCCTGCTCTTGGCACCGCTCGGACGTGTGCCTCTTTCCTTCGGCGAGGACCATCGAGGAGCATTTGTTCACCATTTTGGAGCATTTTTTGAGCATGTGTTCTTTTTCGTCGAACATCCCCCTGTAGGGGGACACGCCCGACGTAAGTCTACAGTCGACGTGCTGAGACGAGGACTTGGCATCGCTCGGACGTGTGCATGTTTCCTTCGGCGAGGACCATCGAGGAGCATCCTCGATCATGTGGCGAAAAAGCCACGCGCGAAGCTGGACAGAAAGGCACAGGGAGTGGACGCCCGAGCGAGGGCCAGTGCTCCTCTCCAGCCTGCCTCCCTGCGGTTCTGCGAGGCCTGGCTGACCTGGGTCTGGACTGACCCGGGTCAGAAGATCCCCGACGATCCCCCCGGGGAGGACATGCTGTTCCGCACCTACCGGCACGTGGACGCCCACATCGCGCGGCACCCCGTGCAGCGGGCCGAGCTCCAGCTGGTGCCCCGGGGGGCTCCGGGGCCTCGGGCTTCGCGCCCGTCCGCCCCCCCCCCCCCCCGCATCGCCTGACGTGCCCCCGCACCCCGCAGGCCGCGGCAGCGCAGCCCCACCGGCCCGCCATCCCAGCTCGGGGTGGGCCCCTGCGCTTCCCGAAGAGAAGGGCACGGCATGGGGGCAGGTCGGCCATGGGGGCCCAAGGCCACGCCAGTGTTAATTAAGTCGGGCCTGTCCCCCTATAGGGATATTTTCGAGGAGGAGGAGGAGGAGGAGGAGGAGGAGGAAGAGGAGGAGGAGGAGGGAGGAGGGAGGAGGAGGGAGGAGGAGGAGGAGGAGAGGAGAAGAGGAGGAGGAGGAGGAGGAGGAGGAGGAGGAGGGGAGGAGGAGGAGGAGGGGGAGGAGGGGGAGGAGGAGGGGAGGAGGAGGAGGAGGAGGAGGAAGAGGAGGAGGAGGAGGAGGAGGAGGAGGGAGGAGGAGGAGCAGGAGGAGGAGGAGGAGGAGGAGGAGGAGGAGGAGGAGGAGGAGGAGGGGAGGAGGAGGAGGAGGAGGAGGAGGAGGAGGAGGAGGAGGAGGAGGGGAGGAGGAGGAGGAGGAGGAGGGGGAAGAGGAGGAGGAGGAGGAGGAGGAGGAGGAGGAGGAGGAGGAGGAGGAGGAGGAGGGAGGAGGAGGAGGAGGAGGAGGAGGAGGAGGAGGAGGAGGGAGGAGGGGGAGGAGGGGGGGGGGGGGACGAGCATTGCTGCTGCAGCGGCGGCGTCGCTGGCGGTGGCGGCGGCCCCGCTCCCCCCTCCAGGCAGCGGTGGCAGCGGCTCGCGCTGTCATGCACTCCGCGCTTAAGTGCAGCGTCGCCCGCGCGCCGCCCGGCACCTGCTCACCGAGCGCGTTCCACTACTCGCAAAGTGCCCACTCGCAAACGTCCGGTAGTGGAACGCAAGTTACTTTGCGAGTAGTGGAACGCGCTCGTCTACCTGCGGCCGTCGAAGCCGTGGCCCCCGCCTCAGCGTGCCCCGGGCCTTCGTCGTCGTCGTCCAGCTTGAGCTTGAGGTTGGTTGCCGGGGTGGCCGTGCTGCTCCGGATCGGAAGTCGGGGGGCTCCCTTCGCGGCAGCTGGCTGCTGCCGTCGGCGCTACGAATCTTGGCGGATCGGTGGCCGTTTTGAGGCTGCGCGGTGTCGTCCCTTTCGTCTCTGGGTCGGGTCGGAGAGAGGTCCTGGTGGCCCCTCCGTTGGTCATGTGGCCTGCGGTAGCGGGTGGGCCTGCTGGGCGGCTCGGGATGGCTGTGCTTGATAGCTGCGCCCGTGCTGAGGTCGGTGCTGCCCAAGGTAGCGGCGCCGTTTCACTCGTGAGCCTTGCGCTGGTGGCCTGGGCCGCGTAGCTGGGCGCCTCGGTTGGCATTCCGATGTGGCTGGCGTCTACTGTTGAGTCGGGCTTGTCCCTCTACAGGAGGAAAATGCAAACATAGTAAAACATAGTCTGGGGACGATGTTACGATTATTTTTTAATCTTTTTTTTGAACAATTGTTGACTATGTTTAAATTGTTCGCCCAAAATCCTCCTGTAGGAGGACATGCCCGACCTAAGTCTATTACGCTGGCGTGTTCGTGCCTCGCAGCTTCAGGGCCTGGGTGAGTCGTTCCATGGCCGCCATGGTCACCAAACCGCGGGAGGGAACCTGGCGACCCCTCCTTCGGCTTGGCAATGGGAAGGACACTGCCATTTTGCACTCTGGGGCGAGAGAGAGAGAGAGATAGAAAGAGAAAGAGAGAGAGAGAGAACAAAAGAGAGAGAGAGAGAGAGAAAAATATGACAGAGAGAGAGGGAGAGAGAGAGAGAGAGAGAACAAAAGAGAGAGAGAGAGAGAGAGAGAGAGAGAGAGAGATGGATAGAGAGAGGAAGGGAGGGAGGGAGAGGGAGAGGAGGGCGAGCGAGGGGGACGGAGGGAGAGAGGGAGAGAGCGCGAGGGCACGCCCAGGGCCTCGGCGGGGAGGGGGGCCCCTGCCAGAGAGGTGGGCGTGGCCTGCACGCTGCTGGCCATTGGCCGGGACAGCGAGCGCCACGTGGAGGCGGGGCGGGCGGGGGGGGTCTCCTCCTCCGAGGTCCTCGTGCGCCAGAGGAAGATCGGGGGAAAACAAACCTACCTCGCTTTTGTTCGGATGCAACTCCTGGGAGGTCAAATTCTGATCTTGCCCTGGTCCGAAATCCGGCTTAATCCCGCTTAATCCCGCTTAATCTGGCTTAATCCCGCTTAATCCGGTTTAATCCCGCTTACTCCGAGGCCCACTCTGGCGTAATAGCCCCCAAATGGGGCTTGATCCTCCTTAATCTTTCCGACGAAAACCTCCCAGCAGTTGCCTCCTAACTTTTGACCACCCTCGCTTCCAAGAGATGCCAAACGATGCCAAATTGCGGCCTGCACTGGTCAGGCCGCGTGACGAGGAGGCGCGTGGTATGGCTTGGTTTTGCCTGGAAGCGAAAGCGGGGGAGGTAGTTCACGCTCTGAGAAGAAACGTGACCGGGTTGACCCAAAAGGGGGTCCAGCGCCAAGGGGGTGGTGCAATGGGTTTGGCGCAATGGATCTGTGGGGCTGCAGTACATCTGGGGCGTGCAATGCATTCCGGGGCGCAAAATGTCTTGCTGGATCTTCGCGTGCAGTGCATCAGTTGCAATACAATGCAGTACAATTCTCCGGCGCAATACGTTTGCAATACAATTGCCCCAAATCTATTGCACCACCCCCTTGCAGCTGGACCCCTTTTGGGTCTACCCTTCCCTCGTTTTCACAATTATTTGGGCTCCCTCGGCGGCCCTCGTCGCCACCGGGCCGTCCAGCCCTCTTTGGCTGTCCTTGGGGCCCTCTCGGGGGCGTCTTGGGCCGTCTTGGGGCCATATGGGAGGCCTCTGGGGCGGCCCTGGGGTGTCCGAAGCCCCAGAAAGCGAAAAGGTTCAAATCAGCCAACACACATATTGAACACTTGTGCCTGTTGCCAATTGGGCCCCCTTTCTGGGGCCGTCTTCAAGGCCTCTGGGGCTTTTCGGGGCGGGGCCACTTGGGCCGTGTTGGGGCCATCTTGGGTCGTCGTGGAGCCATGCTAGGCCATCCTGACACCCTCCAGAGCCGTCTCGTGGCCCTGCGATGTTCAACAAGCCCAGGAAGCCAACAGCAATGCTTATTTCTGTTGGTCGTTGTACGCTTTGGAGCCCCAGGACGGGGCCGCCATCCTGGGGTCTGAGCATGCAGCGTGGCTCTTGCGGAGGGGCTGGGGGCGGAACATTATGAGAGAACAGCATTCCAAATAACGTGATATGAGCGACGGAGTACAACGGGCCCGATTGCGCGGAAATTGCCGAGAAAGCTGCCCGCGTGAGGTCGCGCGTGAGCGCCCTCGTTCTTCACGCAGTGTGCCGCGCTGGCGGCTCGCGTAAGCCACCGCGTGAAGTCGCTATGTCATCTCGCGTAAGACCCGTTGTTTCTCGTCGCTGGCACAAGGCGTTGCCGTGGGGCTCGCCATCAGCCATCCTCGCTATGATGCTGCCCTCCCCACGCCCTGGAGGTAGAACAGGGTGCGGCATACAGGGGTGTGGCGCCAATTGTCTGAGCCTGGCGATGCCATCCATCGTAGATGTAGGGCGACGAGATCTATGCATATCCACTGCTCCTGGCCAGGCCAATCCTGGGCCCAGGAGCGGTGTATACGCCCTCCTGGCCTGGCCAGGGAGGCATATACACAGCTCCTGGGCCCAGGATGGGCCTGGCCAGGAGCAGTGGATATGCATAGATCTCGTCGCCCTAAGATGGCATCTCGATCTTTCACGATTTGCACCACACCTCTTTCTGCCACGCCCCCCTCCTGCCTCCAGACACGCCCCGCCCCGCACCCCAGCGTCTACAGTTAAATCGGGCCTGTCCCTCTACACGGAGAATACTCAAAAATAGTCCAAAAAATAGTCTGGGGCCTCTTTTTGGAGCATTTTTTCACCATTTTGGAGCATTTTTTGAGCATGTGTTCTTTTTCGTCGAACATCCCCCTGTAGGGGGACACGCCCGACGTAAGTCTACAGTCGACGTGTTTGAGACGAGGACTTGGCATCGCTCGGACGTGTGCATGTTTCCTTCGGCGAGGACCATCGAGGAGCATCCTTGATCATTTGGCGAAAAACCCACGCACGAAATCGGGAAAAAAAACAGGGAATGGACGTCCGAGCGATGGCCAGAGGACCACGTTGGGCTCCGCTCTACGGGCCGTTCCCCCAACGTCCCGGTGCCCTTGCGTGGCCGGGGCTCCGCGTGGCCAGCGGAGCCCCCTCGGCTCCTCCCCTGTGGCTTGGCATCGCTCGGACGTGTGCCTTTTCCCTTCGGCGAGGACCATCGAGCAAGGATTGCACAAAAAAAACCCTTCGTTCGGGTTTTCGTTAGGGTTTTTTTGTGCAATCCTTCGTTTGGGTTTTTTTTGTGCAATCCTTCGTTCGGGTTTTTTTTTGTTTTGTTTTTTGTTTGTTTTTTTTTTGTGCAATCCTTCGGCGTTTTTTTTTTTGTGCAATCCTTCGGCGGGTTTTTTTTTGTGCATCCTCGATCACCTGGCGAAACAACCACGCACGAAACCGAGAAAAGGCACAGGGAATGGACGTCCGAGCGATGGCCAGGTGGTCGCACAACGACTGGCCTGCAGTGCGGATCACCCCCCGCGTTACGACCAGCGAGTCACGGCGCCGTGCGTTGCGTCGCCTTGTTCTGAGCATCCGCCGGCGGCCATTGATTCACACCCCAAGTTGGGCTCAAGTCGGGTCTCCAGCGGCTTCGGGTCAAGAAATTGTTGTGTGTTGCGCCCTCGTCGAACTGATTGCACCGGCTTGCTGCTCACCGTTCGCGTGAAATGGACTCATTCGCGAGGTATGATTCATCTCAGTGGATACAAAGTGGCGTCCACGAGGCCACCAGCAACGATTGCGATTTCTCCAGCCCGCATAGAGCACGCAGTGGCACCAGTGCTGGTGCTCCTACGACCGCATCAACGATGGAGGTATTCGATAAGCATTCCGAGACTTACGCGGACCCTAACTCAGTGCAATTGGGTTTAGATATGTCGTTGCCCAGCATGTTGTCCACCCTGCAGTGGGTCGCCACGGAGTCGCTTGTCCCTTTGCAGCCTCGCGGCGGCGAGTCCTGGAAGACCGTTGGCGAGTTCGACCGCCCGCGCGGGCGTGGGCGGGCGGAGACCAGAGGCAGCCGCCCATCCGAATACGCTCAGCAGTCAGCCTGGGTTGGCCCTGGCGGCGCCCCCTCAGCGGCCGAGGCGCGGCCGCCATCTCAGCCCGGAGGCGTTCCGCTGCTCCACGGCCAGCCGCGGCCGCCAGGGCAGGAAGGCAGCCCCATACAGCATGGAAGGCGAGCGGCGAGACCTGGAAGACTGGTGACGAGCTCGACCACCTGCACAGGGGCGCCCCATGTCTGACGAGTGGAGGCTCTCCGCTGCTCTACTTACCAGCCTGGAACATATCCCTATCCCTATGTTTGACATCACCTCACCTCGATGCCGATCTTAAGGATTCCCTTAGTTTTTGAGGGCCTATCCCTAAGATTGTCATCGCCTTTTGGCGTGTCAATCGTAGGGATAGGGACGCGTTCGAGGCTGGTTATCTACTGTGTGGCGGGGAGACGGCGCTGGCGGGTTCGCCGCGCAGGCCGCCCGACGTGCCGCGGCGCTCTCCGCCGCCGCGGCGGGGCTCGCCGAGCAGGCCCCCCTGGGCGAGGGGGCACTGCCGCGGCGAGGTCGGCCCGCGCCGGGGCGGAGCCGCACCGCGCGGCTGGCGCTGGCAGCAGCCTCGCGCGTGGCACGCCTGGGGCCGCCGGGACTAGGATTACCAGCCTCGAACGTACGGTAGAGGGAAACAATTAGTGAACACCCCCCCTGCCCCCCAAACTCAAAGTTGGCACGCGGGGGGGAGACTGCGGTCGAGGTGCAACTCATCAGAGCCACCGCCAACTTTGAACATTGGGGGAAGGGGGAGGCGTTCACAGATGAGTGTGGCATGAGTGTTCGCTAATTTTTTCCGAGGCCTGTATCCCTAAGATTGACACGCCAAAAGGCGATGTCAGTCTTGGGGATCCGCCCTCCAAAAAATCAGGGAATCCCTAAGATTGGCATCGTGGTGAGGAGGTGCCCAGCATAGGGATAGGGATATGTTCCAGGCTGGGAATAGGCAACCGAACAATGGCACAAACATAACAAAATCGGAGGTCCGCGCGGAGTTCTCGGGTCCGCGCCGGAGCCCCCTGGCGGCGCCTCCGGCGCCGCCCTTGGCGCGCTCCGCGCGCCAGGGAGGGGGGGTCAAGCGCCGATGCGCGAAAGCCGCGCGGACCTCCGAGTTCTTCTGTTTGTGCCATCGCTCGTTCCCCGAAGGGCGCTGGAGGGCCTGCGGGCCCGGCTCCGGGAGCCGGAGCAGCTGCTGGCCGAGGCCGCGCAGCCGGCCCGAGAGGTCGGGCGGATGACCTGGGAGCAGGAGGTCACCACTCGCCCAGCCACCCCAGCCCAACCCGAAGGCCTCAATTTCCTCTCCATTTCCAGTTGGGGGGGGTCGGGGAACACCGAAAAAACGCATGGACCCCGTACCCCCCTCAACCCGAAGTTCGGGTCAAATTCGGGTTTTCGGGTTGGGTTGGGGTGGTCTGGCAGGTAGTCAGGAGGCCGACCTGCTGGAGCTGGAGGTTCAGCAGGGCGAGCTCGCGGGCAGCGAGCCAGCGCCGACCGAGGAGGCAGCGCCCGCCACCCCTGGCGCTCCGGCCGTCACCACGATCATGATCAGCAACATTCCGATGGCTGTGGCGCAGAGTGGCCTCCTGGGCCTCATCAATCGGACGGGCTTCGCGAGCAGGCACGACTACGCCTGCATGCCGATCGCTTTCGAGGCTGGGACTACACAGGGGATCGCGTTTGTGAACCTCGCCACCCCCAGGGGACGCCTGCGAGTTCTCGAAGCAGTGGACAGTGGAACGGAGCGTGGCTAAGTGGAGCCGCCGGAGCTAGCACGACTGGGGCCGTGATCGAGGTCAGAGCGTCGGCGCTGCAGGGCTACGTAGAGACACCAGAAGGTGGACTGCGAGCCGGCTGCGCCGCGTGAAGAACCCCGAGTTCCACCCCTTCATCGCCCCGAGACCAGCTGCCTGGTAAACGCTCGGCTGACAGTTTCACCATGTTGGCGGCACGGGATGAGAGAGATGTGGGTGGTGCGTGGGGGGGCGAGGGGAGGGGGGGGATTGAAAGAGGAGGAGCCGTCCCCGCTTCTAGTTTGAGTCCCATCGGAGTCAGATGGATTTGCCCTGGGACAGAGTCTCGCCATTGCCCTGCTTCACCATTTCGCCACAGCGACGGTGCAGCCTCGTGACGCCTGCCGCCTGCTTCAGCCATGAATCCTGTAGAGGGAGCCGCGCGGGATGGCGCTTGCTTGACATCGGCGGGATCCGCAGAGTGGCGTCGTGAAGTTATTTCTGAGTTACGTAACCTTACTTATCTATCATTTACCATCTTTGTGCCGCGTGAGCGCAAAGCTTGACTGACTGGCGTGTAAGGGTGGAGCCCCTCTCTGGTCGAGAAGCTGGGGGAGAGAGAATGACGTTTTCTCCGAGCTCAAGAGTCGTAATCACGCTGGGCATGAGGAGGGGGGCAGGAGAATCGGTGGGTGCACCTGTTGCCCTGGGCGAGGGTGGTGGAGACAGATGTGCCCATGATCTGTTGGACGCTTCGTTCTCTCTGGGGCTTCTGCATAGCTCGAGCTACAGGTTCGGACAAGAGGTTCCCCTCTCCTCCCTTCCCGCTTCTTCTCTGCCTCTTTTGCCTGGCCCCACCCCATCTTCTTTGCTCCAGCGTAGTACTTCCTAATTTGTAGTCGGCGCCTGCTGCTACATCCATCTTTCCAGCAACAGAGTTTGATTCGCGTGACGGCGGTTGGAACAGTTCACCGTGCCAGCCACCAGTACCACTTTTAATGGCGCGCAGGGTGAAATACATCCATCTCTCCAACAACAGAGTTTGACCCGCGTGGAATGCGCCCATTGTGTCTTGGAGCGATCGTTCGGCGATTGGGGGCCCTCTTGTGCCATCTTGGGGCAATCTTGGGCCCCTCTTGGCCCGTCTGGGAACGATCTGTGCGCTTCAAAAACCGCCCCGGCTCCCAATCCCCCACGCTTGTGGTCGGGAGGCCGGCCCGGAGCCCCCCAGACCTGGCCCCCCGCTATATGTATACATCCCGAAGACACGTAGAAACAATTAGTTCTGCAACACCAGTTTTGAAAGAAGCCTGCGCGCGCGCTCTTGCGAACCCTTAAGCCAAACTAAATTGTTCAACATTCTGCCACACTTGCCTCCCGCGCCGCATGTCGAACTTATCCAAGCGCCCTTGCGCGCATGCTGGGAGAGGCACGGTCCGTGTTAAATAATGTCACGCGGGCCACTCGCGCGCGTCGGCCGCGCGCGCATGTCGAACTCCTTCCAAAACCCATCGCCGACGCGAGGACATCGTCATCGTTATCGGCGGGCGTGATCGGCATCGGCGCTGCAATTAGCCTTGGCGTCGTCATCGCCACCATCGTCACCATCATCGCTGCTCTCATCATCGCGTCTACCGCTGTTGGTGTCGCCAAGGTACCACGACCGCCCAAGTCACCGACCCGCACTGAAGCGCGCGCTGGGAAGTGCCCAGCGGTCCTCGCCACCGCGGCCGCGTCGGTCGCGCCGCACCAGCTGGCCGCTGCGCGCGCGGGCCTGCGCGGGCTGGCGCGGCCGCAGAGGTGCACCAGCCGCCGCCAGGCACTCCTCGCAATCGCCGTCGCAGAGGCTTTGCAGACCAGGCTGCGCGCGGGCGGGTGGGATGACTGCGCGAGCAGCCAGTTTGGCAGCTCACTGCGAGCATGCGCGAATCTTGCGCCGCGTAGATGGCACCGCATATGTTGCGCCGCGTGGACTGCGCGGCGTAGGCTGCGCGCTTGGGTCCCAGGACGCCCCACGTCTGATTGGCTCGCGAGGCGATGGGCGCCGTCGCTCCGGCCGCTGCCCGCCTCGTGGGCGAGCAGGCGGAGGACCGCGCCACGGCCGTGGAGTCGAAGGCCTCCGGCTGCGCGGACGAGGCCGCCAAGTGCAACGAGAAGGGCGCGAGACGACATGCTCGAAGCGCGCGCCGGCGCGGTCGAGGCCCAGTTAGCGGCGCTCGAGGAGGCGCCCGAGAGCCGCGACGACGCCGCGACGGAGGAAGTCACATGCGCCAGGTGGAGGCGCAGGTGGCAGCCGCTCCACTTGCCGCCCCACCTGCAGTTTGCGAGGTGCCCTCCGAGCAGCGCGGCGCGGCCGTCGTCGCCAAGTTTGGGCTCGATGCGCTGGCGATGGAGCTCGGGGCCTGGCGCCCGCGGTTATTGCGGGTGGTTTCGCGGCAAAGGCGGACTTCTCGGGCGTCGCCTCTGCGCGCGATGATTCCGGATCCGCTTGCGGGGTGGTCTTCAAGTCGCCGCATTTCCTCGCCCGCGCCCGCGCGCCCGTCGCGTCCGAGCGAAAGCAGTTCTGTCAGGGCCGCGCCGCGTGGATCGATGCGCGCAAGACTAGAACCGAGCCCAAGCCCAATCGCGCCGATCATCGCGCGCGCGAGGTGCGGGGGCAGTTCGAGACCGAATGCGGCGACAGGCAGGAGGTCTCGAAACAAAAAAAAAAAACGCCGAGATCGTGCAGGTAGGGGGCAAAGTGGCGGGCCTGCGCTGGCATTGAGCGGCAGCGGGGCGCTGTCGCGAAGGGGCGGCCCAGGGCGGGGCAGTTCGACGACGCTCAGAAGCGCGGACTCTGACAGAGCCCCTCGAACAGCAGCTTCGCCGAGCACGGCGACGGATGGTCAGACTGAAAATGGGGGCGCCAAAAAGACGCATTGCAGCGACGCCGACGCCGCGCAGCAGTGGAGAGACGGACCACAACGACAACCACGACGCCAGCAGCACCGCCCCAGACGACTCCAGCGACTCCGACGTCTTCAGCAGCCCGCTCGAGGGCGCAGGGCGAGGCGGGCAGCGACGAAGGCGCGCAGCCAGCCTCCTCCTCCTCCTCCTCCTCCTCCTCCTCCTCCTCCTCCCTCCTCCTCCTCCTCCTCCCTCCTCCTCCTCCTCCTCCTCCTCCTCCTCCTCCTCCTCCTCCTCCTCCTCCTCCTGTTGCGGCCCGACTTGACACGCTGGAGCCCGCGGAGAGCAGAAGGGCTGATGCTCAGGCATGACATGCTCGATGCGCTGCGCATCCACCGCCGATTGGTCTGGCGATGGGCGAATGCCGCGGCTCGCCGCGCGCCGACGCGCTGGGCGCAAAAAATGCCGAACTTCAGACCCCACTCTCTCTCTCTCTCTCTCTCTCTCTCAATGGCCGACGACGAGGGCGCCAGCGGCGCGGAAGGCAGCCAAGAAGATGGGAAGACGACATCGGGAAGCTTTTGCACAGGTTGGGCGGGCAGTGCTGCGACGCCGACGCCGCTTGTGACTGGGTCCAGGCGGCGACCGCGCCGGGGCGGCGCGAGCAAGACAACGCAAACGACCTTCGACGGTGATCGGCGGCAGGGGGCAGTGAGTGGTGGCCGATCTGCTTACGTTTCACATGTTTGAGGCCGCTGCCTCCGCGCCATGCCTGAGAGGGCGGGCGAGCCCGAGCCCCTTCGCGAAGCGCGCGGGACCCCGGCGTTAGTCTCTGAGGTAGTGGTGCCGAGCAATCGCGAGTGCCCCAAGCGCTCGCCGCGATCAACTTCAACGTCGGGAAGAATATCGTCGATCAGGCTGCTTGTGACGCAGTTAGGTGCGCTTTTGAGCGGCAGCGCCCTATTGGTCGATCGTTTTCCTCGCTGGGTCGGCGAACGCAACGTCGACTCTCGCGTTTCTCCCGGGGGGCCCTCCCAGAAGTTGATGCTGTCGAGTGCGTGTTCTCACCGATCGCCCAGGTGCCTATAGTAGTCGGGATTGCCGTCGTGGATCGATCGCTGGGCGTCTGGGGACGTTCCGTCCGATCATCTTGCCCTCGTCGCCCGATGCCTCTGCCGGAGCTGGCCATTCGCCCGGCGACCGCGCCGCGCCCAAGCGTGCAGCGACTTATTCTGGCTGCCCTTTCCGTCGCACGCGACGCGTTGATCATCGCGGGCGACGCGCGGGTCGAGACCGTCGCTGACTTCAACGCGATCGTCACGAAAGTGCAAGAGTCGGGAGTGGACAGAACCCCCAACAGTGACACGTAGATTAGTGGATTGTCCGTTTTCGGTTCTCGAGAGGGCGACGTGGCCGTTATTTTCCAAGCTTGCGCCCGCCAGATTTGGGCCTCAGGTCGTTTTCACTAAACCACGTTTTACTAAAGGGGCGTTTGTCCATCCCCGAACGAGACCGCTTGCGACTGCCGCCCTTGCGCCGAGCGTCGACGGCCCCGCGGGCCCCCCGCCGTCGAGGAGCTCCGCCGCCAGCGGGCCCCCGCGACCTCGGGGGCCGCGCGGGGCTGGCCGCGGCAGCTCCTCTGGACGGGCAGCAAGCGTTGGTTCGACGCGGCGCGGCAGGAGGGGGAGAGAGAGAGAGAGAGAGAGAGAGAGGGAGAGAGGGAGGGAGGGAGAGGAGGGAGGGAGGGAGAGAGAGGGAGAGAGGGAGAGAGAGGGGGAGAGGGCAAGCTAGGTGCGCTCGCGTCATATCTGACGTCCTACCCCTCCCTTTCATCCCTTACCATGGCGCTGATTTTCTCTATCCGCGGACGCGTGTCGTAGCGGACCTGTGGCTCCGCGCGCGCGTGCGTAGTGGGTGGTGGTGCACGTGCGTGCGTGCGTGCGTGTGTGCGTGTTGTCGTGGTGGTGGTGGTGGTGGTGGTGGTGGTGGTGGTGGTGGTGATGGTGGTGGTGGTGGTGGTGGTGGTGGTGGTGGTGATGGTGGTGGTGGTGGTGGTGGTGGTGGTGGTGGTGGTGGTGGTGGGTGGTGGTGGTGGTGGTGGTGGTGGCGGTGCGGCGCGGTGGTGGCGGGCGGAT